GGAACGAGCAGCCCAGAACAAAATCCTGGACCTTGAGACGCAGCTAAGCAGGACCAGAACGGAGCTGAGCCAGCTGCGGCGGAGCCGGGAGGACGTGAGTTGGGCTGGGGGCGGGCACGGGCGGGCGGGAGGGAGGGGGCTGAGGGTTGGTCTCCCGGGGCCTGCAGGGCAGGGTGATTTGCTGTTTTAGGAACATGATGCGATTTAATTTTTCTCATCCCTGAAGGGTGTCCCGGGCAGATCCTTTTCATTATTACTGGCTTCGTTAAGAAAGATATCATTTACATACCATGAAATCCACTCATTTAAATTGTATAATTGGGTCATTTTAGTATATTCAGAGTTGTACGGTCATCATCCCGGTCTGAGCTTAGGATGTTGTCAGAAGGAGACCCCGTGCCCATTGGCAGTCACTCCCGCTCCCCTCCCCGTCAGCCCCTGGCAGTCACCGATAAAGTCTCTGTGTCTCCATGGCCTTGTTATTCCGGACACACCTCACACTTAGCCCACGCTGGTGTCTCCCCCCAGGCCGACCACCGCTACCAGAGCCGGCTGCAGGACCTGAAGGACCGCCTGGAGCAGTCGGAGAGCACCAACCGCAGCATGCAGAACTACGTCCAGTTCCTCAAGTCGTCCTACGCCAACGTGTTCGGGGACAGCCCTTACGCTCCCTACCTGACCAGCTCCCCCATCCGCTCCAGGTCTCCTCCCGCCTGAGGCCGCCCGGCTGGGGCCTGGGGCCTGGGGCCCGGGGCCCGGGCCGAGGCCGCGGGAACTGACAAGTCGCCAAGCCATATCCGGAAAGCCTGTGTGTGGCTTTCCCGTCTCTTCCAGTGCTGAAGTGCGGTCAAGATCTTGTCCTTAGCCACTGGCTCCACGAAAGTCCCTAAAGCAGCAGGGGCGAAGAAGCAGGAACCACTGTCTCTCCTCTCTGCTAGAGTTGCCTAATGGAAGTTTGCAACGTCCTTGCCAGGCCTTACTCCCAAATCCACTGCGATGAGGGAACCAGATTTTAACTCACCGCAGCTCTGCCCGTTCCTTTCCAGAGAGAATGTTTGGACCGGACTGGACTTTTTCCTCCAGTCCCGTTACAGTCCTCCTTCTAGAAATATCTTTCTTAAGTATTCTGGGACCTGACCCATCAGGAGCTGTAGAGGTCCTCGCCACGCGTCCTGGGCCGGGAGCTCGGTCGCTTCCTCTCTTCCTTACTCCGTGGGTGCCGTGTTTTCCCCGAGCCCAGGGGCGGCCTCTCACACCCGAGTTCCCTCGAGGCCACTCGCTCCCACGCACTTCACGGCAGACGCGCAAGGGCTCACGTGCAGTTGGCCTTTGGAAAGGGTGATCCCAAGATCATTGATTTTTGTTTCTCTTTGCCAGGTTTGTATCTGAGAAATGCATTTATCTTTGAAATATTTGTGTTGTTTTACAAAAAGCTTTTCTAGTCAATATTTAAGAGTACGTGGATGATTTTCTTTACCCACCCCCACCCCCCCTTCTAAAAATGATTAAGTAAAGAATTGCAAGGGAGCCAGTAAACATTTGTAAAGTACTTGGTGCACGGAACATGAGGTTTTTCTTTTCATTTTGGCCCAGTGTCGTCTTTGTGGGCATCCCTCGAAATGACGGGGGGCATTGCTCATTCTTGAGGGGAAGGTCACTTTAGCTGGTGGGAAGAAGATACGTGTATACGTTACCGTTTTTAAAATGTTAATTGGTTTGCGAATGGTGTATTGGCTATTTTTGTTCTCTTCACATTTTCTTGTATTTAAAAGAAAGAGAAAGAAACATTTTTTCCCGTTGGTTGTCAGTTGAACTTTAATTGAAAGTTCAATTAGAACTTTCAATTAATGAACTTTCTATTGATGTTTAGAAACATCAATATGTTTCTTTGTAGTAGTTCTTTTTTTTTTCTTTTAATAAGGCTTTTTTTAAAAAAAGATTTTTTTTTTATTTCTAAAGAGAGGGGAAGGGAGGGAGAAAGAGAGGCAGAGAAACATCAATGTGTGGTTGCCTCTTACACGGCCCCCACTGGGACCTGGCGCACAACCCAGGCATGTGCTCTGACTGGAAATCAAACTGGTGACCCTTTGGTTCACAGCCTGTGCTCAATCCACTGAGCTATACCAGTCAGAGCTCTTTTGTAGTAGTTCTTAACTAAGCCGGGCATTCCACTGCACCGCTGTTCACATCATCTACGATGTCGTGAGGGTGATGGCCATTGACACTGCAGCCCACGGACTGGGCCGTCCCTGTATCTCTTGAATGGTTCTAGAGAGTTCTTTAGCTGAAGCTCGGTGCTGCAGCTGTCAGGCAATGTTGACAATTTCATCAGAAGAGCTATTTCCACTGTGCTTAATGTTTTTTTTGTCGGTTGATTTTTTTTCTTTTGCTTCTTTCTGTCCCGTGGTGGGGGTTCTCCAAGGGCTTTGATGCCCAGGGCAGAGGCAGCAGGCACTACCTCTCTCTGGGCCTGTGTGTTCTGAGTGGTCAGTTTCACCGTGATACTCAGACCTTTCCAATCGCTGGTCGCTTTGGCGATGTCAGACCCAGAGGATGGATGTTGGGGGCCAGGGCAAACGTAGCACCAACACCCCACTGGTGCATCTCAGGAATACGACTTTAATCTCGTTGGGGTTGAACTTTGGCAGCATGGTGGCAGCGGCTGGTGTCGGATGAACGTGGATTCAGGATGACCAAAGAAAGTTGCACCTAAGCCTCCTCCGAGCCAAAAGCCAAAAGCAACAAATTCTTTAGAGAGAACAAATGTGAATCTATGCTGAACCCCACCCTTTTCATTCTGGCTGGTATCGGCCTTCTGGGTGATGCAGTCTTGTCCTCTCAGCCACTCCAGTCCAAGTCCAGAACTCCAGAGGACTCCCCTGTGTCCTCGAGGGCAGTGGGCGCCACCCGGGCATCTGGATTCCATGACCAGATTACTCCCCACAACCCAGTCTAGGTGACAATTGTAGTTTCCAACTGTTAATTTTGCCAAAGAAGTTCTGAAGAAACAACCACAAGCCCTGGGTGTGGCTCAGCAGACTGAGTGTAGGCCTGTGAACCGAAAGGTCACTGGTTCGATTCTCAAGGCACATGCCTGGGTTGTGGGCCAGGTCCTGGTTGGGGGTGTGTGTGGTCTCTCACACACACAGGGGAACTTTTTTCTTAAAAAAAGATTTTAGTTATTTTTGAGAGAGGGGAAGGGAGGGAGAAAGAGGGAGAGAAACATCAATGTGTGGTTGCCTCTCACACGCCCCCTACTGGGGACCTGGTCCACAACCCAGGCGTGTGTCTTCACTGGGAATCAAACTGGCAACCCTTTGGTTCTCAGACTGCACTCAGTCAATCCATTGAGCTACACCAGCCAGGGCTAAAATTAAGTAAAATCTTTTAAAGAACAAAACAAAACAAAACAACCACAAACTACCACTGCCACAAAGCCAGGCCTGTTTTCATACCTTTAACATAAATGGACCTGAATTTAACAATATGTGCAAGATTTTCCCGAGAAAGGACAGGGGGCAAACTTACACCAATGTGCACACCTGTTTATATAACTCATTCTTAATTTTCACCAAACTAATGAACACCTCGATGCAGGGCACTGGTTCTTATCATGCCGGTGTGGGAAACCTCTCTCTCAGAGTCCACTGCTGGGACTCTGCCAACAACATTATTTTATTTTGTCCAGAGAGTTTATTACACCCCAAATAATGGAAAATGTTCATATTGCTTCAAACTCCAGCAACAAGCCTGCCACAAAGCGGGCAAAAGAAGAGCCGAGCCCCAACCCATGGGGTCGGTTAGAGCATCATCCAATACCCCAAAGTTGTGGGTTCGATCGCAGGTCAGGGCACACACAAGAATCAGCCAATGATTGCATAAATATTGAGTAAATGGAACAACAAATAGACGTTTTTCTAAAATTTTTTTTTAACTTGAAAAAAGTAAAGAGTCCTAACTAAAGCTGACTCTGGGTGATGTTGAACCACATTTGATTTAGTTTTTTTGTGCTATAATTTGCATACCATAAAATTCACCTTTAAAAAAAAAAACATTTTATTTCTGGAGAGCGGGGAAGGAAGGGAGAGAGGGAAAGAAACATCTATGTGTGGTTGCCTCTCATGCGTGTCCGCCCCGACCCCCCGCACTGGGGACCTGGCCGGCAACCCAGGCATGTGCCTTGACTGAGAATCGAACCATCAACCCTTTGGTTCACAGGCCTGCGTTCCATCCCTGAGCTACACCAGCTGAGGCTCACCTTTTTAAAGTGTAGAAATTTAGTGTTTTTTACATGTATTCACAAAGCTGTGCTAACTTTACATTTTCATCACCCCCGAAAGAAACTCTTAATTCTTCAGTAGCCACTCTCCGTTCGCCTGGCCCCAGCCGCCGGGCAACCACGGATAAAGTCTAAATGTCTATGACTTTGTCATTCTGGACATTTCACTTAGCATGTTTTCAAGGTTCACCCCTGTTGTCACACGTATTTCTACTTCGTTTTCACGACACACCGTATTTTATTGACCCATCAGTTGATGTACATCTGGGTTCCCACTTTTTAGCTATTCTGAGCAGTGCTGCTAGGAAATTCAACACATTCTTGTGCGGACGCATATTTAATCTCTCTCGGGTGTACGCGAAGACCTAGGAGAATCACTGGGTCAGATGGTAACACACAGTTTTAAAGAACGGCCAGACTGTCATCCACAGCCGCTGTCCCCTTTTCGAGTCCCACCCACAGTATGGGTGGGGCTGGTTCCAATTTCTCTACATCCACCTCAGTGCTACATAATCCACTTCCTACATAATCCGGGGCGGATCCGAGCTGCCGGAGAGCCCGGGGGTCTGAATCTCTCCGCAGGGTCCCACCCTCGAATCCACACCCTGTGCGCGCGCAGGCGCGCTTTCAGTCGGCCCGGCACCGGAAGTGGGGCGTGCACCGTTCCGAGGCTGCTTTCCACCATGCACTGAGCGCGCGCACCGGAAGCGGAAGTGAGGGATTGTTTGTGGGAGGCTGATTGGAGGGCTTGCTCTTTCATAAGCGGCATCTTCTCCGCAAAGCTGCGGTGGTCGGAGTCATGCCGTCCGAGGGTCGCTGCTGGGAGACCTTGCAGGCGCTGCGCAGTTCCAAGAAAGGTCGCCTCTGCTACCACCGCGACTGGCTACTGCAGGGCGAGGTCAGCAATGGGTCCTTACGGCCGCTGCGCCGGGACCCCGCGAGTCCTTTCTAACTGTCCGCATTTGTTTCTTGATTCTTGTGTGTGCATCATTCTGTCCCCGGGTTTCTGCCATCTCCAGCCTCTTCTAGCCACTGGGGAAACTCCCCTTCTTCGGCGCTCTTCTTTCTGAAGGCTTCGTTTCTAGCCCCAGAGAGGCGCGTCCGCCTTGTTGCCAAAGCAGCCCGGGCCTCTCAGGGTCGGTTAACTTTCGCAGGGGAACGTGCTAGGATATCCACATTTAGCAGCGAACGATTAGTATGACCTGTTGCTGCAAGTGAAAACAACACATATTTCGATGACATTGGTTGGGCCTGTGAAGTTGAATGGGGGCGTGTCACTGTATTTGCGAAGTCGTGTACTGGGTCGCTGGGTTGGGGGGCAGGGAGAAACAGTTAAGGCATAGCTCCTGTTCCCGGGTTGCTGGTAATCTAGCCACACTGTCCTGTCTTGTCAGACTTTTATGTAAAACAATTCTAAAGCATTTCCTTGTCTTTTATATCTGACGGTTTTAAAGAAAACGTACCTTACATTCTATAGGATGAGTCCCAGCATGGGCCTGTCTGGTGTATACTCAGGTTATGCATCCTTAGCAGGAATACCGTAGAAACGATGCTGTGTTCTCAGTAACGCTCAGCAGGAAGCACACGGATGCCTCAGCCCGACCCAGTGCCACTAGGGATGCTGACCTTGACCCCCTGGTCCCAGTGGTGGTAACCGCTAGATATCTCCACTTAACACTCATTTTTTTCCTTCTTAACGGATTAGTATTGTATAGGGAAGTATTCCAAGATTACACCAATGGATATCCTTTTTCTAGCAGAACTGCCCCCGTAGCGTCCATTAATGATTTCTGCCTGAGTCAGTCACCTTTGTGATGGGCCAAGTGGTGTCTTCTTGGTGTCCACCATTCCTTCTACGGTTGTGAATTGGCATTCCACTGTAAGGGAGAGCTCTCTTTTCTCCCCTGGTTAATGAATTGTGTCAGTATGGATTCATGGGTTCTTATCCGCTGAGTTGTAATTCACTATTTGGAACCTTATTCTGTGTATTTTCATTTCATGGGAAGTAGATCTTCAGGATAAACTTCCAGAAGTGAGATTGCTGGGTCAAAAAGTAAACATAGCTGTCGTTTTGTTATGTATTGCCAATTTCCCGCCAAAAGTGGGTGTATCAGTTTGCCTTCCCATGAGCAGTGCGCCATGGTGCCCCTTTGCCCACAGGCTTGTCAACAGAATATATTATTATAGTTGCAGTTTTTACTTATTAAATAGGTAAGCATAAGGTCTCGGTGTAATTAATTAATTAATTTATCCTCACCTGAGGACACGCTTACTGATTTTTAGAGAGAGGGAAAGAGAGGAAGAAAGGGAGGGAGAGAAACATCCATGCAAGAGACATTGATCAGTTGCCTCTTGTACGTGCACAGACCAGGAATGAACCTGCAGCCCAGGCATGCGCCCTCACCAGAGATCGAATCCACAACATTTCAGTTTATGGGATGACCTTCCAACCAATTGAGCCACACTGGCCAGGACAGTCTCAGTATAGCGATAATGCATTTCTCTCTTGATTCCCTGAGATTGAACATCTTTTTATCTTTACTTCATAATTGCCTGTTTAATGTCTTTTCTCATTTTTTTCTATTGGGGTTTTGTTCCCTTAAATTTTACAAGTTCTCTTATGTATTAGGGATAATAATAGACCTTTATATGTGATATATATCGCATGTGTTTTTTTCTAGGTTTTTTTAATTCATTTTTCAGAGAGAGGGGAAGGGAGGGAGAAAGAGTGGGAGAGAGACATTGATGTGTAAGCGATACATCCATCGCCCCACACTGGGCATTTGGCCCTCAGCGCAGGCACATGCCCTGACTGGGAATCGAAACCGGTGACCTTTTGGTTTGCAGGCCGACACTCAGTCCACTGAGCCACACTAGCCAGGACTATATTTTTCTAGTTTGTCAGTTAACTCTTTTCTCTGTTTATGGTGTTTTTGTATCCGTGTTTTTTTATTTATTTCATTTGAAACTTTGCCCTTGGAATTTATTTTGGTGTGTGAATAACTAAAAAGGTATTGTCTCAACATTACTTTTTAAAAGATTTTATTTATTTATTTATTTATTTATTTATTTATTTATTTATTTATTTATTTATTTTTAGAGAGAGGAGAAGGCAAGGGGAAAGAGAGGGAGAGAAACATCAGTGTGTGGTTGCCTCTCAGGCATCCCCCACTGGGGACCTGGCCTGCAACCCAGGCATGTGCCCTGACTAGGGATCGAACCAGCCATCCTTTGGTTCGCAGCCTGTGCTCAATCCACTAAGCTATACCAGCCAGGCTCAACATTATTTTTAATATGTCTTCAAAATGAGCCTTTTTACTGCATTAAGTGTGCATACAGCATTTTGCTTCTGTGTCCAAATTGTTCCCTATAGATGGAAAACCTGTTTATTATACGTGGCGTGTGTGCCTACAATCTAGATCAGGATTTCTTTTATTTTTTAAATTATTATTTATCCTCACCTATGTATACTGTCTCATTGCGTTTTTATTTTTTATTTTTTTAAAGATGTATTTATTTTTTTAGAGAGGGAAGGAAGGGAGAAAGAGAGAGAGAGAGAGAGAAACATCAATGTGCAGTTGCTGAGGGCCGTGGCCTGCAACCCAGACATGTTCCCTGACTGGGAATTGAACCTGCGATACTTCAATTCAAAGCCCGCGCTCAATCCACTGAGCTACACCAGCCAGGGCCTGTTTTAATTTTTAAAATTAATTTATTTATCTTTAGAGAGAGGGGAAGGGAAGGAGAGAGAGAGAGAAGGAAATATCACCGTGTGGTTGCTTCTCATGTGCCCCCTACTGGGGACCTGGCCTGTAACCCAGGCATGTTCTCTGATTGGGAATCGAACCAGCAACCTCTTGGTTCTTAGGCTGGCACTCGATCAACTTACCCATACCATCCAGGGCTCATTGCATTTTTAGAGACAGATGAAAGAGGGAAACATCGATGTGAGAGAGACGCACTGATTGGTTGCCTCCTGCACCAACCGGGTACTGAACCTGCAACCTAGGTTTGTGCTCTGACTGGGAATCGAACTCTCAGTCTTTTGGTTGCAGGGTGATGCTCTAGCCTGCTGAGCCACACTGGCCAGGACTAGATCAGGATTTCTTAAGCACAGCACTGTTTGTATTTTGGGCTGGGCTGGATGGTTCTCTGGGGTGGGGGCTGCTGTTGCCGTCTTACGTATTGTAGCAGGATTAGGAGCCCCCCTCCCCCCGGCTTCTACCCGCTGGATGCCCGTGGCCCCTTCCCAGTGGTCTCCAGATGTCCCCTGGGTAGGGGTGGGGGTAGCGTGGGAGGGGGATAAAATTGGCCCTATTTGGGAACCACTGATGTAGATAATATAATAGCTTGCAATTTTTGAGTAATTTTGTGCCAGGTACTGTTCTAAGTCTTATTACTCATTTAAACCCCACCTCCAAATCTTTTGAGGTAGATCTTTTATCCCTTTTTTTAAATACGTTTTATTGATTATGCTATTACAGTTGTCCCATTCCCCCCTTCACTCCTCTCCCTGCTGCACACCCCCTCCCACCCACATTCCCCCCCTTTAGTTCATGTGCATGTGTCATATATTTTTTAGGTTCTGCATTTCCCATATTATTCTTGCCCTCCCCCTGTCTATTTTCTCCCTACCATCTATGCTACTTATTCTCTGTACCTTTCCCCCATTTCTCCCCCTCCCACTCCCCTGTTGCTAACCCTCCATGTGATCTCCATTTCTGTGGTTCTGTTCCTGTTCTATTTGTTTGCTTAGTTTGCTTTTGTTTTAGGTGTGGTTGATAAGAACTGTGAGTTTGCTTGTCTTTTTACTGTTCATATTTTTTATCTTTTTCTTAGATAAGTCCCTTTAACATTTCATATAATAAGGTCTTGGTGATGATGAACTCTTAATTTGTGACCAAAATCAACCAATTCTGTGAGCATCCTGATCACCAGTGCTTTGAACTGTGCATCTGATAGGTTGGCTATTTCTTTGTTGCTTGAAAGTATTGGCTCTGGGGCTTTCATTTGTTCTTCCGTTTGAACTTTTTTATTTATTTATTTATTTTGGTCTGGTCCCACTTGTTACGTATGAGGGGCGGAGCCTTAGGTGTTCACCCGGGCGGGGCAACCCAGTCCCTAGTTTGTGACGCTGTATGTGGGGACGGGGTCAGAGAGGGAACAGTCACGCTTGCTGTGCTGTCTGTCAGATTTCAGTCTCCTCCGCTGCTTCCCACAAACAAACTGGGCCCTTCTGGTGCTGATTCCCATGTGGGTGGGCTTGGGTACGTTCTAGGACCCTGTGGGTCCAACGAACTCTCCTGTGAGGCTGGGAGTCTCTCCCGACACCTCAACCTCCACAAGTGTTTTCAATCAGTGCTTTCAGGCTTTATTTCCTGGCGCTGGGGCCCTGGGTTGCGCGGTCTGTCTCGCTGCCTGTTTTCGCCTGGTTTATTTGCACGCAAATGTGTGACTGCGAACAGCCAGCTGCCTTGTGCGCCTCGCTGGGTCTGCTCGTTGCCTCCCTGTGCCTGTGCCCGGGGTCTGCCACCCGCCACCTGCGCCCTGCGTGCCCGGGTCTTCCAGCCACCGCTTTTTCCTGCCTCGACCCCTCTCCACCGGCCGCAGGCTCCGCCCCTCTTACCCGTCTGGATGAATGGTTGTCGGGACTTCTGTACAGTTCAATTTTCTGTCTGTTCTGGTTGTTTGTTTTTGTTTCTAAATTTTTGTTGTCCTTAATTTCGGTTGTGCGAGGAGGCAGTGTGTCCACCCACGCCTCCGTCTTGGCCGGAAGTGTCTGTCTACTTTCTGCTGCTTCCCTGTCTATTTCCTACTTTCTACTGTAAATTCCACTTTATTTTATTTCATCAGCCTTTACATTAGCAGCTACTTTTCAGTGCCTGTTATTTTCATTTAAAAATTTGTAACATGTTCATTTAAAAGTTTATGTAAGAAATACATAAAATTAGAACAAGAAGAAATATTTCACTTATTACCCAAGCATAATTTCTGGTACATAATTTCTGGTACATTTCCTTTGTGGGGTTTTTCTTTTTGTGTATGTAGTAGCATTTTTATTTTTTTATTATTTTTAAAATATATGTTATTGATTATGCTATTACAGTTGTCCCATTTCCCCCCTTCACTCCCCTCCACCCTGCACACCCTCTCCCACCCACATTCCCCCTCCTTTAGTTCATGTCCATGTGTCAGAATTATAAGTTCTTTGGCTTCTACATTTCCCATACTATTCTTACCCTCCCCCTGTCTATTTTCTACCTACCATCTATGCTACTTATTCTCTGTACCTTTTCCCCCCTCTCCTCCTCCCACTCCCCTGTTGCTAACCCTCCATGTGATCTCCATTTCTGTGGTTCTGTTCCTGTTCTAGTTGTTTGCTTAGTTTCTTGTAGTAGCATTTTTTAAAAATGTAATTGTAGATGTACTGTGTTTATGCTCTCAATTTTGTCACGTAAAATTGAATCTGTAGATATCATTACATAGGACTATGAGCAGTATTTCTGATGACTGATGTGCCGCTGTGTGGGCTGTGGTACATTTCAAAATTCTTTTTGTGTTCTTTTCTGTTCAGCCTTTTAGATTGCTCTGGCGTGTACTTTAATGACCGTCTTTGTGCTTGGGCCCTGTTTCTGTAGCTAGGGTTATTTAGTCTGATAGTCTAAAAGAATAACAGTCAGGGTCATTATCAAGAAACTGCTTTCGCCCTGGCTGGTGTGGCTCAGTGCACCGAGCGTCGCTTTGTGAAGCAAGAGTTTGCTGGTTCGATTCCCAGTCAGAGCACATGGCTGGGTTTCGGGCCAGCTCCCCAGGAGGGGGCGCATGAGAGGCAACCACACATTGCTCTTTCTCTCCCTCTCTTTCTCCCTCCTTTCCTCTTTCTCTAAAAACAAATAAATAAAATCTGAAAAAAAAAAAAAAAGAAACTACTTTCTCATCATCGCTGATTGTTATACAGGGACTTCGGGTCTTTGGTACGTACATTACAAATATATGTGTGTGTGCCTTCTTAGATTTTCAGTAAGACGTGCGGTAGGTTAGCTCTGATTGCTTAGATCAGTGGACGTGCAAGTTGAGTTTCGCCTCTTCTTCTCTCCAGAATGTTTTAGAGGAGTATACATCGGTCCCCAAGCTGTCTCCTTACGCCGGATGGGTGGTGGATCATGTCCTGCCCCACACACAAGAGAGCCTGGCTCCCTCTGAGACTTCGCCCTCCCCCGCATCCACGGCAGGCCTGGGCCAGCCGTCACTTGCCCCCACATCTCCCGTCGGAAGCCTCGTCTTCTCCCCAGCCTCCCCGGGAGCACCAGCAACACCAGATGGAACCAAGGTAAGGTTTTTATTTATTTGTTATTTTTCTTTTCAAAAAGATTTTATTCATTTATTTTTAGAGAGAGGGAGAGGGAGGGAGAAAGAGAGGAAGAAAAAGATTGGTGTGGGAGAGAACAACTGATCAGTTGCCTCTTGCATGGCACCCAACCGAGAGCCTGGCCCCAAAACCCAGGCATGTACCCGGACCGGGAATTGAACCAGTGACCTTTTGGTTTGTGGGACTAAGGCCCTGCCCACTGAACCATGCCAGTCAGGGGCCAAGGTAAGGTTTTTGATGAGCTGAGGACAAAGGATAAGGTGGTTACACAGTTGAATTGTGTAACACTGTCGTGTGGCAATGACCTTGTGCTGGAGAAAACAACTGCATCTCCTGGCTGTTGGCAGTGACGGTGCTGACCACAGCGCCCAGTGCTCTCTGCGAAGACCCAGAGGAATGTCCCTCTCAGCTTAGCGCCAAGAGCAGTAGTGAATGTCACGAGCAGCGGGATGGTTTTTCACACGAACCTCGCACCTGTGTAACTGGTGATGTCTCCCCCTTTGGGCCGGCTGTGGGAGCACAGAGTAAAACCTGTCCCCACTCTTGAAATTGCCGTAGCTTTCCACTGGTGCTGTATGAGGTTTTACCCGGTTTTTTGTTTGTTTGTTTGTTTTTGTTTTGTTTTGTTTTGTTTTTTGCTGTGTTTTGTCCCTGCCTTGGTTTGTTTCTCTCTCTTAAAAACTGAGTTATGGGCGGCTAGCATTCCCAGAGAGAGCCTTCCTAGACAGCTCCACCGGAGAGACCCAGAGGTGGGCTCCGACCTCGCCTGGCTCACGAGCCTCATGGCTGAAGTGGCTACTGGCCCCGGGAGGCCAGAGGACTGTGCGAGGTGCCGCACGCTTCCCCCTGGGGCTGGGGAGGTGAAGGTACTGGGCACGTGGACAGGGGCTGCTCCACGCGGACCGTCCATCCTAGCGCTGGTGGACGGATGCTTACCGCAAGAAAGGGGGAATGCTTGCCGGGCAGGTCACAGCAAACAAGCAAGCAGAAAAGATCGGTGCTTGCTGCGCTTTGGGCATCTCTTCGTCTTCAGGACAGCAGTCAGAACAAAGTCAGTGTCACGAAAAACGCTGTCGTTCTCACCCAACTTGTTTTTGTTGTTGTTTATAAGTAGGGATGTGATTTTTGTGTAGAAGGAATAACACCAACTGTATTATCTTAAAAGCTTAATATTACAAAAAAAATACATATATATATAAAGCTTAATTTCTGCATCTTCTGACTGTGTAGGACAGGGATGAGCCCCAGCACACAGAGGAGCCCGTGGCGCTGCCGCCCTCCAGGGCCGCCCGCGTGGAGGGCTGCATCCGGATGTATGAGCTGGTGCACAGGATGAAGGGCATGGTAAGTGGCCCTGAGGCAGGCGGGCCTGGCCGCAGGGGCCACATCCAGGTGCAGCCCCTTAGGCTTGTGAGCGTCCCCTACGTGCCCCCTGTGCGCCCATCATGGAGCCCAGCTTGCCGCCGGCAGCTCCGGTCGGTTTGTGGGGCGGTGTGACGTAGCGGTCCAGAGTGAGCGCTCCAAAGTCACATCTGGTTTCTGGTCCTGCCCTCTATCCCACATGGGACTTCAGGGAGCTTATTACGTGTGCTCTCCTGGCTTCCGTGCACGGCTCCAGGACTGGGAGGTGGTGTGAGGTGGTCAGATGAGAGCGCACTGAGAAGATGGACCTTAACAGCCTCTTGAGAAAAGAAGAGCACTGTTTTAATGAATGTATTTGGCTTTTTTTTTTTAAGAGAGAGATTTCTCTCTCTCTTTTTTTTTTAAGATTTTATTTATTTATTTTTAGAGAGGGAGGGGAGGGAGACAGAGAGAGAGAAACATCAATGTGGCCTGCAACCCAGGCATGTGCCCTGACTGGGAATCGAACCTGCGATGCTTTAGTTCACAGCCCGCGCTCAATCCACTGAGCTACGCCAGCCAGGGCTTGCTTTAAAATAATTTTTAAAATAGAATAAAATAATATCTTAACAACGTGTTTTGACACATTTCCATGCTGGTGTATGTAACATCTCATCATCTCATCTTCCGTAAAGGCTGCAGTGCCCTCCAGTGTGCTCTGCTAGAGAGAGAGAGTAGGTAATGTAGTTATAGATAATAGATAATCTAACTATATAGATAATGTAGTCTTTCTCCTGATAACTTAAATTGTTTTAAATTTATTGCCATAGTCAACAGGGCTGTGGTGAGCATCCTTGTACATACATCTTTGCATGCTTTTGCAGGTGTTTCTTCAGGACAAATTCCTAAAGTGCAAATAGTGTCCAAAGATATACATACATACATACATACATATATACATATATATTTATATTTATATATACTACATAAACTATATATATTACTTAAGTATCAAATTTTGATGGCTGAAATGTCAAATTGCCCTTAAAAATCCTATGAGAAGACCCTCAAGAATAAAAGATGAAGTGCCTGACCCCCTTAGGCATAAAGGAGCGGGACTTTCCTGAGTGGAGCTGGGGGGGGGGTCTGGGCAGAGATGATGACACGAGGAAAGGCGGGAGATAGAAATGTGCCCAGCGGGTTCGTGGAGCTGCAGTGAGGGTTTCGGAAACTAACCTGGAATCCTCAGAAGCCTAACACACGATGGAGCTGGGAGTGCAGGGCCGTTTGATACTCTCTGGGTGAACACTTGTCCCTTCCCAGGTTCTCCTGGGGTGACATAAACCACCTGGGGCTTTCCAAAACCGCTGAGTTTAAAGATCACCCCAAAGGAGGCCCTGGCTGGGGAGCTCAGCTGATTAGAGTATCGTCCCGCTGCACCGAGGTCACGGGTTCGATGCCTAGTTGAGGCACATCTGATCAGTTCACAGGTGGCCCCGGGCCCCGGGTGTCTGGCGGGAGGTAACCCCGCAGTGTGCGGGAGCGGGGTGGTGGGGAGGTCCAGGCAGCGGTGCTGACCCCTTTCAGGAGGGCCTGAGACAGTGGCAGGAGGAGCAGGAGAGGAGGGTGCGAGCGCTGTCTGAGATGGCGTCCGAGCAGCTGAAGCGCTTTGATGAACGGAAGGAGCTGAAGCATCACAAGGAGTTCCAGGACTTGCGGGAAATGATGGAGAAGAGGTGAGCCCCCCCCAGATTTATGGCTGGAAGTGTCGGGGTGGTCGGCTGCAGCTCTTTCCCGACAGGAAACCCCAGGGGAAAGAGTTGGCACAGCTCCTGAGTCCTTCAGTATCAGAATGAAAGAGAGAAGCTTATGGTCCAGAAGAACGACCAACCTTGGGAAGACAGGCAGTGTCTCCCAGAGAGAGGGAGGCTTCTTGGGGCGAGGAAACCGTTTCAGCAGACACCCCTGACCGGCTCTCCCTGCCGTTTCCCGTTCAGCTCCCGGGAGGCCCTGGGCCAGCAGGAGAAGCTAAAAGCCGAGCATCGTCACCGAGCAAAGGTCAGAGCCTGGGGGACCCGTTGTGGGTGTGACCCGTGTGAGTGTGTCCCGTGTCTGGCAGTGACCGACCCCAAGAGTCAGGCTCTGGTCGACAGTCACGAGGACCCCGCCCCTTCGTGCCTCTGTGAGACTGACCCTGCGCACAGGGTCCTCTTCCTGTTCTGGGCCCACGGGGGGGCGTATGCAGCCCACGCAGGACTCACGGGTGTAGAAGGAGAAGGCCCAGGAGCCCCTCAGAGGGAGGTGACCTGGCAGTCTTCTCTGCAGATCCTCAACCTGAAGCTGCGGGAGGCGGAGCAGCAGCGCCAGAGGCAGGTGGAGCAGGAGCGGCTCCGGAGGGAGGAAGGCCAGGGCCGCCTGCGGAGCCTGTACGCCCTGCAGGAGGAGCTGCTGCACCTCAACCAGCAGCTGGACTCCGGGGACCAGCGCAGGGACCCGCCGAAGGTGGACCTGTCGGCCTTCCGGACGCGAGGCAACCAGCTGTGCGGCCTCATCTCCGGCATCATTCGGGCCACTTCTGAGGTGAGGGGGCGGCGGGGGGCTCTGTCTTCCGGCTCCAGGTGCACGTGTGAGGGTGTGCTCCCCACCCCAAACTGGACTCTGTAGATGCAGAGCAGCTCATCTGAGGTTACAAAAATGTGCGTGTCTTCTGGTTGCAAAACACTTCGGTTCATCCAGTGATATATTCTGAGCGCCTGCTTTCCTCAAAAATTAAAGCCTCAGAGGCGTCTGGGAGTGGACGATGATGGTGAGTGCTGTTCCCTTTACGAGAACAGGGAAGCAGGAGGTAGCACGTGTTGATGAAGGGTACTACATTGATGCAACAGTTCCAATTCTAGAAATGCACTGACATGTAAGGTGTGAGTCAGCCCCACAGGCTGCCTAGGGCATAGCCCCAAAGCTCTGCCTCTGTCACCCCCCAGGACGGCTTTCCCACGGCAGAGGACCAGGCGGTGGCCGAGAGAGCGCTGCAGGAGATGCGGGAGCTCTGCGCGAGCGCCCGGGCCCGTGAAGACCAGCGGCGGCGGGAGGAGGAGGCGGCGGCCCAGGTGAAGCAGCAGGAGTCACAGATGCAGCAGGGCCCGGAGGTCCGCAAGGAGCCCCCCGCGCCCAGCCAGGGCCCGGGAGGGAAGCAGGGCGAGGGTGAGTTTGGGTGTGGGTAAGGTCCTGTAACTTGTTGCAAGCTTCAGAATTCGGGAAGGAGCATGGATGCATTTTGAATATTAAGCGACAGGAAAAATCGCGAGAACTTTTACGTAAAATGTAAAATTCAATACTTTCACTGAATTAGGTTTAGTTTCGGTTCGCGTGGAGCTTGCCTTCGCATTCCAACACCTTCCGTCGAGGACTTGAGGTTCTGTGTAATGCAGTAGATGTAGGATTCCAAGTATTGCTGTTACTGAGTATTTTAAGTAAATATGCACAAAATACACGTTTGTTAAAACACAAGAGAATCAGTGCAGAGTAATGGTTGAGAAGGCTGGCGCTGGGGCCAGACCCGGGGAATCCAGCTTGCCTGCTGCCTGGCAGTGTGACCTTGGCAAATCGGTCAGCCTTTCCATGTCTGTTTCCCCTCCCATAAACTGGAGGTAACTGTAGTGTCTCCTTCGTGGGGTTACTGCGGCAGTCAGAGCAGGTAACATGTGCATGAGGCGATCGGGACAGCGCGGGTTCACACGAGGCGCTCGGTGACTCTGGCTGTGCTGAGAGCCCTGTCCCCCACCCCCTCCACCCCGGCAGACCTGCAGGTGAAGGCCCAGGACAGCACGATGCAGTGGTGCCGGCAGCTGCAGGAGGTCTCCAGTCAGTGCGTGCGGGCCTTCGAGGGACTGGCCAACAGCAAAGACAGCCAGGTAGGACGGGGCGCAGGCCGGGAATTCTTGGGGCGTCAGAGTGCTCTGAGCAGCCCCGTGTCCCAAAGGTAGGTGGGCAGGGTGTCACATTCCCCAATCCCTGTGGCATCCGCTCAGCGCTTCGGAAAGCGCCCCGCCTTCCCACGGTTCTCCGCCGCAGGTCAAGAAGATCAAGATGGACCTCCAGAAGGCGGCCACCATCCCCGTGAGCCAGATCTCCACGCTCGCAGGTGGGTCAGGGGGTGAGCCTCCAGAGCGCCTTGCCTGCAGGGTTCCTGGAAACAGTGCGCTGACCAAAGGCGGACCATCGGGTCAGGTGTATGTCAGTTACATGCGTCAGTTACACTCGAGTGACATGTTTACTCCCCTTTGCTTCCTCTTCAGCACACGGGAGGTAATCATTCTGTATGTGTTGACTCATTTTTTAAAAATGAGTTGTTTATTAATAGTAACGTGTTCAGGGCGGCTGCTACCTAAAATCGAAAGCGACTGTGGAAGACGTCACGAAGGGAACCTAGGGCATGGCTTTCAGTCTGTGCCTTTGTCCGACTAATATTAGCTTTTCCAGACTCGGAGTCTGCCCTGTTCATGCTTTGCAGCGCCTTCTTTTTCTCTCCGGGGGCTCACATTTAGAGAGTAGGAACCAGACAGGGGAAAGGCCCTTCTTCCTCCTCCTCCTTAGAAACGGGTTCCTTTGGTCCAGAGCTCTGGGTAGGGGAGCCTCCAGACGACAGGTTGCAGCCGAGCGGCTGGGGAGCGCGCACCTCTGGGGGTCCCGGATCCCCCGGTCAGTGCCGCCCCCAGAGCACGGGGGAGGTGCACGTTCTGCCCCTGCCGGGCTGTGTGACAGAACTTGCATACCCCTTGGCTGCCTGGAATTCCTTCTGGAGCAGGGCGAGGTTTAAATAAGTTAACACGTATCACTTTCTGGAATTTGAAGTGCCTTTGCTTCGACAGCAGCGGCATCAAAGGGGCGGAGGGGACCGGGCGGCCACCCCACGCCTTCACGCTCCCCTGGAGCTTTGCCTCAGTCTTCTCCCCTAAGTCGGCCGCAGACCGCGGTGCTTGCTCCTTCATCAGGAAACCGAGACGGCAGGCGGGAGAGCCCCCGCCCCCAACCTGCACACAGCTGTACTCACCTCTCAGTGTCCCGTTTCAAAGGATGAGGTGTCCTCCCCACCCGTGCTTACCCTTCTGCCTCCGCCTTCATTCCCATCCCCGCCTGTCTCCTCCGAGACCTGGCCTCCTCGTTTACGGACTTTCTCTTCTGTTCTCTGCAAAATTAGTCCCTTGCACAGGCACCTTTCCCTTTAAGCACGCGTGAGCCTCGTCCTAAAATACGTTTCCCTTGAGTCTACACCTTCTGAGGATTTTCTCGTCCTCCTCGCGTTTCCATTCGGTGCTGCTGGTTTTCCTTCTCTGTGAAACTCCACCCCCTCGGCTTCTGTGGCTCATGCATTTCCAGGTTCTCCTCCTAGCTCTCTTCCTCCTTCGGGGGTCCCTTGGTCTGCTCCCCCCACCTCGGCTATAGATGTTTCCTGGGGATCCGCTCCCACCCGGCAGCTCTCAGTCTGCTCACCCCCGTGGCGTGAAACGTGACCTGCATGCAGGGGACTCACAGATCTGCCTCTGGTTCGTCCAGTCCCTCTGGGCCTCAGAGTCCCTGGGACCAGCTCCCCGAGGGACGCCTTTGCCAGGGTGTCCCCAGACACCTCAGGCGCGGTGTGTTCCGGCCTGAACTCGCCGTCCTCCCCTGCTCCCCGTGCCTGCATGCTCTCGTTTGCACTCAGTAATCGGTAGCGCCCTTATCTGCTCCGTGGCCTTAACTGGAGACCCGGGAGTCATCCCGCTGCCTGCCTCCTCCGTTTCATCCTCCACATCCAATTAGGGTAACGTTGCTCACAGGGGCCAGGAGCCAGGCAGGGCGTTTATGAGCTGGAGGCGCTGTGCTAATTTAAACTGTGATCGCAAGTCATAGGCACTAATTCAGATCTGCGTATGCAAATAAATAATAAAGGCTTTTGTCCCCAAGATAAAGAGGTCTTTTCAGAGAACCTCCTAAGGGCAGGAATGGAGCGAGGCCTCAGGAGCAAGAAACTTTAGGTCCTTTTCTGTCTTGCCTCGTCTTCCTCTGTGCATCTCCACTCTTTCTTTACAGACGGCTGTGCTCTGGTCCACGGGGCAGGTGCCAGGCCCCACTGCTCACGAGTGTGCGTGTTGCAGGGCCAGCCACTCCACGGACCGCACTCTGTCCGTTGGCTGGTTGGCTCAGCTCGACTACTGTCACTGTAGCCAGTGCAGGGGTGGCATACACAGGATCTTTCATACAAATAGAGCCACGAGGGACCCCCTCCTGTGTCGCTGAGGGGGGAAGAAGGCAGGTCTCAGAGAAAGGGGAGACTCGCCGCGGCTGGGGAGGGCCTCTAGAGGATGCCCGTGACTCCTGCAGGCACATCGGCCACGGCCCCCGACACCGTGACACATCAGCACTCGTTTCCACTCTGTTCATCCCTGTTTGGGGAGTGTTTTCAGAATCAGCTCCTCCCCAAGTAAGGAATTCCTTGGGAATAGGATGCGGTGTGTTCTGCATGCTTTTTGCAGTCTCCACGATGCACATTTGATTGTCGTGCAATCAAATATTGATTTCTGGGTCAGTGTTCTGTCCTGAGGCTCTGCACCCGTGCAGGGCCGCTGCGCAGCTGGCTGTGTGCAGAGCCCTCCTGTTTGCTGCAGTCAGTGGTGAGAAGCGATTGGTCCGCAGTTGTGTCTCGTAACTCACTCCGACTTTCCCGCCCCCAGGCTCGAAGCTGAAGGAGATCTTTGACAAGATCCACAGCCTGCTCTCCAGGAAACCCGTCCAGTGTGGTGGGCGCTCTGTGTCGGTCTCCATGGACCCTCAGGGCCTGGACTTTGTCCAGTACAAACTGGCAGAGAAGTTTGTGGTGAGCAGCCTCGTTGCCAGAGGGACGGGCGGGAGAGGCGGGCACACAGTACTTAAGCCGCTCTCCGGGGCTGACACTGTCCCCATCTCCGTCCGCAGAAACAAGGGGAGGAGGAAGTGGCTTCCCATCATGAGGCGGCGTTCCCCATCGCGGTCGTGGCGTCTGGCATCTGGGAGCTGCACCCGAGAGTGGGGGACCTCATTCTCGCTTACCTGCACAGGAACTGCCCGTACTCTGTTCCTTTCTACCCCGCCTTCAAGGAGGGAATGGCCTTGGAAGACTACCAGAGGTGAGGTGGTGGTTCTTTTCGCTCGCCCCAGGGTGAAGCGTGAGATGGAAATAGAACTTGTATACACGGTTTTCATGTACCTTGAATGTTCTGTCAGAAAATATGTCTTTCATGCAGACTGGGCAGCTTTTGGAACTGGGGGATTTAGGTGCCAGTAATCCATGTAGCTTTTAGTGGAAAGACTAATGGATCTGGAATCCAGGATTCTTTAGAATTTTATCCCTGCTTTGTCATTTTTTTCCCAAGATTTTATTTTATTTATTTTTAGACAGCGGGGAAGGGAGGGAAAAAGAGAGGGAGAGAAACATTGACGGGCAAGAGAAACTCGGTTGCCTCCAACTAGGAACCCTGCCCGCAACCCAGGCCTGTGCCCCAGCTGGGAATCGAACCAGCAACCTTTCGCCTTGTGGAATGATACCCAACCCACTGAGCCACGCTGGTCAGGGCTGCTTTGTCATTGAGTAGCTTTGCAAAATGGGTGAAGCATTTTTACCTCTGTGAGCGTCATTTTCCTTGTTTATAAATGATGTGTATGGCTTGTGAGTTTACCCCACAGGGCCCCGGGATGTGAGTGCTTTGTAACAAAGTATTCTACAAACGTAATGACAAGAGCAGTAATGTATTAATAATGGTGTGGTGTTACTTTCAGCCATCAGAACTAATCTCTGCTTTGTCACCCTTATCTTGGCCTTGTCACACTTAATTTTTTCGTCCCACATAGGATGCTGGGCTACCAAGTGAAGGGTTCCAAGGTGGAGCAGCAGGACAACTTCCTAAAGCGCATGTCCGGGATGATCCGTTTCTACGCCGCCGTCATCCAGCTCCAGTGGCCGTACGGGGCCCGGCAGCAGGTAGTAGGAAAGGCTTGCTGCCCGTACTGAGGGGGCGGCCCTCAGTCGGGGTTCTGCCTGCAGACACACCAGCCTCCTTTCAGAGGGGCCTCCGGTCGCGCGCTGCTTCATGGGGGTCCTTTAGAGAGGCTGATGTTGGTCACTAGGGGGCTTTCGGATCACTGGAGCCATTTGTTCAATAATTGACTAGGGGAGGCATTAGTTCAGTTTATAGAAGAGTCTTCCAGACGGGAGTCTGTGGTAGATCAGTTGTTAGAGTTCGAAGATTTTATTAGCAGAGGAGTGAGCAAGAAATTGTCGTGTGAGACATGTGGTGCCTTCGGGGCCGTCTGGGTCACATACGTCACCCACAAGGGGGCAGGTGGCGGCTCGGCAAGCTGAGCCGGTGCGCACGTGGCGGGGACAGAGCCACAGCTGGGGTCCAGGGGTTCACCTGCCCGCCCAGCTCTTCTCCCAGGAGTTACAGATCGGCGAGGTGGAGGGGTTAGCGGACTTCAAGACCTGAAGAGAAAGGAGTCTAAATTGATTGAGCCCGAGAAGTTTTTACTGTGCAGCTGCCGTGTCCCCGGTTCTGTGCTGAGGTTCCGAGGTGATAAATGTCTGTTAGGGTAACCTGGCCTATGGACTCCCTGAAACCGAAGCCGACAGATGGGTATTGAATGCATCCAGTAAGGAATGTGTGGGTTCCAGGGTCTTAGAACATCTGAAACCAGAATTTATTTGGCGTGCGTTGTTTCCGCCCTGCGGCACGCGCCTGGGTTGCATGACTCGGGGGTTCGCGTCCACTTGGTGACGGCCGGATGCTACCGCTGGGCGTGCGGCTCCCCGAGTAAGATGAGATCCAGTCGTGACCAGGCCCCTCTCCTCCCAGGCTCACCCTCACGGCCTCAACCACGGCTGGCGCTGGTTGGCACAGATACTGAACATGGAGCCCTTGTCAGACGTGACGGCCACCCTCCTCTTCGACTTCTTGGAGGTACGTGACACAGTGACCTCGTGAGAGGGAGCCAGCGGCGGAAACGGCCTTGGCTGCCGCGCAACAGGGGTGGGGGGCACCGTAGGAACAGAGGGTGATACAGCAGATCGATGCTGCGCGCTCGCACTCTCTGTCTCAAATAGTTTAAAAGCAAAAAAACAAATAAACCCAGGTAAGAAGGAAGCACAAAACAAAACAAAAAGAAGGAGAGAGAGGGTGGTGGCGAACAGGAAGCATTAGGGTCCAGTGTCAGGTTTTCTTCTTGAGCCCTAAGACAGACTTGGCCTTTGGTTTTCCCTTCCGCTGCACTCTCCTTCGCTGTGTGGGCATCTTCTCGTTGTAAAGAGCGGAAGGCTGCACGCCCTGGCACAAGTGAGAAGGGGAACTGCTTCAGGGCTAGAGAGGTGACCCCCAGCACCCAGGGTGGGACGGACAGTCGAGTGTCATGAGGGCCTGGAACCAGGCACTGGGGTGTCACCAGGTACCACGAGTCTCTCCCCGGGGCCACACGGCCTTTCATGTTCCTGCCAGTTGCCTCATCCTTGCGCCACGGGCCAGCTGTCCCTCGTCCTCGGTGCACAGTGGCGAAGGTGTCCCACCATGTGATCCCTAACTCCCAGAGCAGAGAAATCGGATGGACCGGCTTGGGCCAGCTGTCGCCCTCATCCAGAAGGCTCTGTACAGCCCCGTCTGCTTATTTAAGGGGCCACCACTCGAGTGTTAGGGCGAGGGTCTCTGTGGGAAGGAGACGCTTCTTAAAGAAAGGAGTCACGTGCCATGAATCTGTTGCCGTTTGTCCTATGACGCCAATAGTTTCCAGTCACCTTAAAGCTTCTGAAGTCACAGCACATGAGCGGTGGTCCTGAGTCACCGAGAACAAAGCAGGATTCCGTATTCTCTCTGCTTACGAGGGTTTGGGGGTGGACCAGAGCTTTGGGAAGGCTTACTTTCAGTAAAGTCAGTGAAGAAGAGTCCATTAAGTCTGGTTCATGCGCTGGCAGGCTGGTTAAATGGAGGTGTCGCCACATGCAGTTAAACGCTTTCAAAGAAAGTTGGAGTTTTCCATTTATTTCTTCAGTGGTTGCTGGCTAAGTGGCATTTCGTGGCTGAGTTTCTTGGTAGAAGCGAAAGGCAGGGGGCTGGCGGTGGTTTCCGGATCTCGTGCGCGTGTGCGCTTCCATCCGCCGCTCTGATGGCGCCTGTCTCTCCGTCCAGGTGTGCGGGAATGCCCTCATGAAGCAGTACCAGGCCCAGTTCTGGAAGGTGATGCTGCTCATCCAAGAGGACTACTTCCCCAGGTAGGAGGCTCGCCGGGCCGACGGCACGGATGTGGCGGGTGAAACCCACGAGGTCGGCTCCCCTTCGCTGCTGTTCAAACCGCCGGCCTCAGGCGTGGCCTCTTAGACGTGCGTCCTCCTCCTCCGACATCCGAGTAAACGTTTGTGAACTCCCGTAAAGAGTTTCTCTTAAATATTGTTGACTAAATAAAGAAAAAAAAAAGACTTAGGAAGATCTCAGATTCCAATACCTGACATTTTTAAAAACTTTTTTCCAAACACCCCCAGATAACCTGGGGTGCTGATATTACTTGCAGTTCTGAATTAAACCGAGTCTAACCTCCTCAATAAGTCAGCTGAAAAAAACAGACTTATCAGCCGGTTGGCTCGACCTCCGCCATGTGGCATTCACCTTCAAGCACCCTTCTCACCCCGCCCCACTTACTGGCATGGCTCGTGGGGGACAGGCCGAGACACCCACTCACAAAGACCCGGAAGCGGGGTGGGGGGGCGCCCTCTACCCTGTGCCCCTTGTGGGAAGAGAGGGTTGGGACCGTTTGGGAGAGCAGCAGCACCCTCAGCCTGGATCTGCCCCTTCCCTGATTCCTCTCCAGAAGACAGGTGTCCCTCACCACGTGTCTTCTCCCTGTCCCCGCAGGATTGAAGCCATCACAAGCTCAGGACAGATGGGTTCCTTCATACGCCTCAAGCAGTTCCTAGAGGTAAGAGACCCTTAGACCCACACCTCCCACATTGCTCCGGGCCTCAAGTGTGCTTCTGCCCGGCCGGCCTCCGACATCCAGGCCCTCCGACCACAGTCTGTCCCTCCCGATCTTTCTGACCCCTCCTCTTGGTCCACCATGTTCCCCGAACCTGGGGGGCCGCCGGTTCCCCTTCCCACATGTCGCTGTCCGCACTGCCCTGGGGGGGCGGGCGCCCCCAGGAGAGGACTAAACCCCGCCCAGTGAGTCTTGTCTCACCGGCACGTTTCCGGCGCGTGGGCCAAGGTTCTGGAGAGCTGGGGAGCGTGCTAGCTTTCCTCCAGGGGAGCAGGCTGCGCCCTCGTCCCCACTCCTTCTGTTTCCAAGTGCCAGCAGGTTTTTTTTTATCCTCACTTGAGGACTTACTTTTCATTTTTTTTTTTAAGATTTTTAAAATTTATTTTTAGAGAAAGGGGAAGGGCAGGAAAGAAGGAGAGAGACATCAGTGTGAGAGAGAATCAGTAGTCGGCTGCCTGTAGCACGCGCCCCGACCGGGGACCAAGCCCGCAACTCGGGCGTGTTTCCCGGCTGAGAATCAAACCGGTGACCCTGTGCCTTGTGGGATGACCCCCAGCCACCTGAGCACACCAGTCAGGGCTTTTCTTTTGGTTTTCCTTTTTCTTTCCTTTTTTTTTTTAAGAGAGAGTAAGGAAGGGAAACAGACAAAAACATCATTTGGTTGCCTTCTTGTAAGGCACCAGGGACTTAACCTGCAGCCTGGGTATGTGCCCTGACTGGGAATCGAACCCATGACCTTTCGGTCTATGGGGTGACGCTCCAACCAACTGAGCCACACTGGGCAGGACCTAGAGCCAACATTTTTAAGCAGTTAAGTTTGACAGACAGCTTAGAACTCCGTGGTAGGTCCGTCGGCACAGCCCGCCGACTTGCCGTCTCCAGTAGCCCGGCTAGGAACCCAGCAGGACTGAAGGACGAGGCCAGGCCCTGGGAGACGAGAGAGGAGCGGGCATAATAACAAACAGCGCCACGCTGGTCGTCCCTGCGGCTCCCGTGGGAGCAGAGGCCACACGCACAGCCGCCGGTCCTCTACCTCTTTCCTTTTCCCACCACGCTCCGTGGGGCTGCGCTTGCTGCCCCTTCAAGTTCCTTTGAATTGTCCAGTGTGGGAAGCAGAGTTATCAGAAAGTCGTTCTGTTTTCTTCATCCTCCCCCAACCAGAAGTGTCTGCAGCGCAAGGAGATTCCCGTACCCAAGGGCTTCCTGACTGCCTCCTTCTGGCGTACCTGAAGTCGCTCCGTCACCCACTGTCGCCATTTCGTTGCTGAGGGGAAATAATAAAGCAACTGAACATAGCTGTCTTTGGGAGAGCCGTGTCAGACTTAGACATCTGCCAATGTGTGTTGTCCCGTATCCTTGTCTTGTGTCTAGGAAAGGAGGTTTTCACGGCGCACAAAGTCAGGGAGGTCTGATGACCCCTTAAGGGGGACCCACAGGGCAGAGTGCCTGGATTTGGCCTGTCTCGCTTTTGTTTATTATTATTATTTTTTTATTTTTAAAGATTTTATTTATTTATTTTTAGAGAGAGGAGAAGGGAGGGAGAAATAGAGGGAGAGAAACATCAGCATGTGGTTGCCTCTCATGCACCCCCCACTGGGACCTGGCCCGCAACCCAGGCATGTGCCCTGACTGGGAATCGAACTGGTGACCCTCTTCTGGTGTGCAGGCCGGCACTCAATCCATTGAGCCACGCCAGCTGGGGCAAGGCCTGTCCTGGTTTGGCAAAAATTACGAGAAGAGGTGTTTAGCCTTTTATCCCATTTTTTATTTCCTTTGTCTTTAGTATCTTTCAGAAATAAGCTAATACCTTAAGTATTATCACTGTCAGCTGAAGTGAGCCCACCCCTTTAAAGGGTCATGAAGTGGTTGCCCGAATCCTTACCTGCAAGTCTGGGTTATGGTGGCTTTGCCTTCTCAGCTTGGGAAGTAACTAGAAATTCAGAGGAAATGCCTGATGTAAACACACGGACTTAGCCCTGGATGGCATCAGGGTGGCCTAGTGTCCGGGGTCAGGGCTCAGCACGCGTCACATCGAACCAAGACGCACCGTCTGCCCTCGTAACTGGAATTCGGTGCCCGACGGCTAGGGACTCCTGGACAGGGCGGGTGCCTTTTTTGGTTTGTTTTTCAGTTTGAATTAAGATGGGCCGAGACAGGGCTGGCCACAACACATGTGAGCTGAGCATCCACAAGCAATGAGTTAGGGGTTCAATGAAGGTGCTCGGGAGGGGTTGAGAACTGATATTATATATACATAAAATATATATAGTGTATATGCTATAATATATGATATATGTATATCATATATATGGTATATGTATATATATATATAAATCTTTCTACTTGTTCTGTCTAATGAACAATGACAGATTTGCCTGACCAAACCAGTACAGAAGTCCAAAGCCGGGCGCTCCGCGAGGAGCGGAGACCTGTGTCTGGGCAGACTCCCCGTCTCTGGGCAGCGGGCAGGGGCAGGGGCAGCCGCCCGGGGCCTCTTCCTCCTGACCGTCGTGTGTGGGGAGGTGGGGGGTTTGAGGGAGAGGGGCATTCCCTGGTACTGTTGAAGTGACTTGTTCTCTACTATTTACTGTGGTGCCAAAAAATAAGTAATAAAGCTTGAATTTTAAAAATCCATTGCTGGTGTCCAGTTGGCTCAGTGTGGTCAATTTCCTGTGCCCTGAGCTTTGTCAGCCATGGGGGGGGGGCATGGCGGTGCCCAAGTCTATCCACTTTCTCCCTTTTTTGTCTTCCTGACCTTCACCTTAGGAAAGTTGTTTTTTTTTTTTTTGCCCTGTCATTCCTTTTCGGAATGAGGTGCCAGCCACTGGTCCTGTTTTATCTAGCAGAAGCGGGAAAGCGAGAAAGTCCTGTGACGTGGACACAATGGAATGGACGCTGGGAGCCGGGCCCAGTCCACGTTGAGGGTTTGCGGCTTGGGTGTAGGTCATTCGCCCTCGGGGAGCCTCAGGGCCCCCACCTGCAAAACACAACAGGCGGGCTAGTCGGTAGGTCAGCAGGTGTCGAGGGTTGCAGACCATGCTCCCTAGCGGAGTCTCAGCAGGGCTTCCCAGCCTGTGTGTCCAGGCACACCGCTGTCCCTAGCCCGCCCACAGGCCCCGGGCCAGTTACCCTTTGCGCTTCCTCTCCTCACCTGTGCTTTACGAGTGGCATCACCGTCTAAGTGTCGGGACTGTTGGGAAGTGCTGACTGAGGCCGTGTGTGTTGACTTCAAGGCGATGAATCATCCAGGGAGGCTTTTATGCATGTTTCCATAAGGCTTCCCTTTCTTCGAGATGCTTCTGCCATCTGCTAGGAAGTTGTCCTGTTCATAACCGAAGGTCTGGGGTACAGGAGGGAGGTGGGCGGGGCCAGCTACGGCTGTGCAGCTCACACCTCTCGGCGAAGCCCCTGTGGCAGCTTTCTGTGCCTCGGGTGCCGGGGTTCCGTGGGAGGTGAGACGTGGAGAAGTTCCCCTGCCAGAAACAGTGCGAAAAGTCCCTGGACAAGATGGTCCCCAAGGTCTCTGCCACTTTGAATGTGTCACTCCATAGATAACACTTCCTCCAATGTCTGAATGTTCTGTCTCCAGACGTGTGTCAACTGCAGCTGGGTGTGTGCTGTTCAGTACTCGGTATTCCGAGTGGGTGCTGGGTGGTCAGCCGGGAAGAGGGTGCTGGGGAGGCCGGGCTTTTGATTCTCACGATGTCACCTGCAGAGAGAGGGATTGCTGGCTGACACATGCAACTCCCGATGGGTCGTAGCATCACATTCCTTCGGGCAGAGGGCGAAGGACTGCAGTCTGCTTTAAATTCAGGCACTCACTTGCCCGCTGGCTTCCTTTCAGGCTTGACCTCATTTCTTAGGCAGAGCGCCCGTAATTTTGTCATATCATTGTCCTACATTGTTTGAAAGCAAGTGGGATGACTTTAAAATTCCCAGAGAGGAGTCCTACACATCCCTTGAGTAGGAGAGGGGAGTTCTGGGCATTTCCACCCAGGCACTGGGAGCCTCTCCTGCTTCTCCAGCTTCCTACCATGCGAGCAGCGGGCAGTGACGTAATTAGGCTCCGGTGTCCGACTGAAAGCCCCAGCCCTCTACACAGGTGCCTTATCAGGCCTGGAAATTCACTCCCTTTTGTCTGTCCCACCCAAAGAATTCCTGAAATGGATCTTCTGGTGACCTGCAGAGAGCAGACAGGAGCTGTGGTCTTCCCAGCTGTGGGATGATGAATTCACAAAAATGCTGTTTTAAAGGGATTTGTTGTCTACAGCTAGGCGTCATTGTTAAAAAAAAATGTTACTTTATACAGATGACATACTCAAGAAACGCTTTTCTTTTAGCGCCTCCGGGTTGATTACACTAGGTGTTATGTGATCCTGAACCAGAAAAGTATCTTTTTGTGTGTTTGTCTTACAAAGGACATTGGGACAGTGACTAAACTTGAACATGGTCCGTGTGCCCACATTAATTCCCTGACTTTGACTCCTGCATTGTGCTTATAAAAATGGATGTTTCATTCCCAGTCAGGGAACATGCCTGGGTTGCAGGCCACGGCCCCCAGCAACCGCACATTGATGTTTCTCTCTCTCTTTCTCCCTCCCTTCCCTCTCTAAAAATAAATAAAATCTTTAAAAAAAAGTTACAAAGTTTAAAAAAAAAGATGTTTCTATTCTTCAGAAACACACAAGCAGTACTCGGGGTGAGTGGGCATGACATCTGCAACTTACTCCCAATGATTCGTGGGGGTGAATACATGTTTACACGTGTGTGTGTGTGCATAAATATGTGTACAATACATAGACTAATAAAGCAATATGGTCAAATGTCAGCAAACTGGGGAATCTGGGTGTAGAGTATATAGGATTTCATTCTAGTATCCCTGTACTTTTCTGTAAACTGTTTCAAAATTAGAAGATGACCCTCTTCCCTCCACCAAAACAACAACAACAAAAAAACCATCTTACAGTCGAATGAGGTGACTGAATCTAGAACCTACAGTGAAGGTTACATTGAAACTGTTGTCAGCCCGTGGCGGGAGTGGGGAGTTGACTCCAAACAGGTTTGACAAGATGCTTCCTGCTAAAGTGGAACAGGTGCTTGGGGAGTGGAGTCTCAGTGGGGTGGAGACATGGGGCTCACGGACTTGGCGGCTTGATGGTTCCAGGTGAAAGACGGGAGCTCAGAAGACAGATCCGTTTTGCTTAGGCAGCTTTTCCCAGAGAGGTTTTCTGCAGGACCCTAAAAAAAGGAGTTCAGCGGTCAAAGAAGTGTGGGAAGTGTGTGCCGAGTTCAAGGTCAATGAAGTGAAGTGATCGATGAAACGAGAATGGCCGTGTTGGTAATTGCTGACGGTGGTGATGAACATAGGCAGGTTCATTGTAACATTCTGTTTACTAGGCTTATCTTTGACATCTTAATAAAAAGTTTCCATTCTAAATCAAAGAAAAAAAAAGACTTTTTCTTGCAGGACTTTTCGGTGCCTTCACTTTGTTTCTTTGAACTGTCAGCCTGCAAACTGAACATGAAACTCCCTGTTCCCAGAGCTTCTCCTGGGCCTAGTATTTCTGGGGATACACTCTCTGGAGTGCTTTAGTTGGAGGTCAGGCTGGTCAAGGAAGTATCTTGGAGAGAGTATGTGATCCAGGTACCTGAAAATATTCAAAATTTTTAAAAGACAGTACAGAAGTCCCCAGATCCTTTTATCCTCGGTACCTGCTTGAGCACCTCCTGCGTGTGTGAACGGAGAGAGGAATTCAGTTCTGCACAGACGCAGTTCCCACGCTGTCCTGCCACCTGCCATCACTCGGGAGTATCTCACACTCTTTTTCAAGGCACTCAGTGTGAACTCCGTCACCAATATTGTCTTGGACTTAGGAATCCCACGTAATGTACCATTTTTCTGTTGGTGACTAGTTGCTTCTACTTTGTTTGTTTTAGATTTTATTTATTTATTTTCAGAGAGGGAAGGGAGGGAGAAAGAGAGAGAGAAACATCAATGTGCGGTTGCTGGGGGCCGCGGCCTGCAACCCAGGCATGTGCCCTGACTGGGAATCAAACCTGCGATGCTTTGGTTCTCAGCCTGTGCTCAATCCACTGAGCTATGCCAGCCAGGGTGTTCTAGTTTTTTACAACTATTCAGATTCTTAAGTGTAGACCTTGTCCCACCTTTTTAGGGTGAGTTCCCAGATGGAATGTTGTGTCAGGCAGCATGCAAGTTTCATATCCTGGTCCGTGCTGCCAAATTGCTCTTCCAGAAAGTTTCCATTCTACGTGGGTAAGATCTGTCTGGTGGAAATGAAGGGGTGGGTGTCGGGAGAGAAGGACATTCTAATTGGAGGCAAAAGCATGAAAAATGGAAAAATAAAAAAACCCATTCAGGAGTGGAAAATGAAAAAATTTAAAAAGCATGAAAAATAAACAAAATAAAAATAAAATAAAAGCATGAAATATAAAAATAAAAGCATGATGCCCCCTGGCTGATGTAGCTCAGTGGATTGAGCACCAGCCCAGGAACCAGAGTCGCTGGTTCCATTCCCAGTCAGAGCACATGCCTGGGTTGCAGGCCAGGTCCCCAGCAGGGAGCATGGGAGAGGCAACCACACACTGATGTTTCTCTCCCTGTCTTTCTCCCTCCCATCCCCTCTCTCTAAAGATAAATAAATAAAAATTTGTAAGCATGAAAAATGGAAAATAAAAAGCTTGTTTAAGAAGTGACTAAGCTCACCTCTGGAGGAAAGCATTAGAAAATGGCTCTGGAAAGAAGTGGGAATGATTTTTGGATCCTTCAGAATCTCTTATTAGTTTGGGCAACTCTGGACAATGAAAAGCTACTAGTTTTTTTGAGGCCCCTGCTGGATTGCTCTATTGGTTAGAGCATTGTCCTGATATACCAAGGTCGTGGATTCAGTTCAGTCTCTCCGGTCAGGGCATGTACGAGAATCAACCAATGAGTGCATAAATAAGTGGAACAACAGATCAATGTTTCTCTCTCTCTCTCTCTCTCTCTCTGTCTGTCTCTTTCTCCCTTCCTCTCTCTAAAATCAATAAACAAAGAGTTTTTTTAAAAATTTAAGAAGGCCTGACCTTATTTTAATTGATTTTAGAAATAGAAGAAAGGAGAGAGACAGAGAAACATGGATTTGTTGCACTTGATGCATTGATTGGGAGATTCTTTTTTTAAAATTTAATTTAATTTAATTTTACTTTTTTTAGGGAGGGAGAAAGAGAGAAGGAGAGAAACATCAGTGTGTGAGAGATACTTTGATCGGTTGCCTCTCACACCGCCCCCCCCAACTGGGGACCTGGCCAGCAACCCAGGCATATGCCCTGACTGGGAATTGAACTGGCAATCTTTCGTTTTGCAGACCAGTGCTCAAACTACTGAGCTACACCAGCCAGGACTAGTTGATTCTTGTATGTGCCCTGAACAGGGATCGAACCCACAACCTTGGTCTATGGGACGACATTCAAATGAACTTCGCTACTCAGCCAGGGCATCACACTCACTGTTGTGTAACCCTCACCACCATCCACTCCAGAACTTTTTCATCTTCCCAGACCGAAACTCCGTCCCCATTAAACACAAACTCCTCACTTCTCCTCCCAGAGCCTCCGGCAACCCCTGCTCTACTTTC